TACATGAGAAAGTTTTACATTTGTTTGAAAATAAAGTACTACAAGCTTTCTTAGATACATTGGTTAGAACAAAAGTAAAGACGAGTCTTCTATATGCTCCGTCTTCTTCAAAAAGTTAGTAGGAGTACCTGTCTATGGATGCCCTGAGAATACAAGCAGTTTTAAAATATCAGCATAAAGCTGGTGAGTTCATAAGCGGTTTGTTTTCTGGAAAAGGATTTCAGTTTCCTTTAGTTTCATGAACAGTTGATATCCAAGAAAATCCCGTATTTTCTTATAAAAGTAGTTTGGTTATCCCTTTTGTTACACAATCTGAATTAAGAAAATCCTGCAAGTTTCCTTATGAAAATATGATTTGATTTCTCGTTAGATGTACCATACAACCTTGTTTATGAAAAGTTACGTTATCCCAAGAAAACCCTATGTTTTCTTATGAAAAATATTCGTTGGTTATCGATTCTGAAATGATGTGTACAAGTATCTACCATACTTGTATCGATTAAGTGAAGCATACTGAATGACTAGTATCCCGTGGTAAGCGTGTTAGTTTTGACACGTACACAAAACTAATAAGTAAGTAGTGAACTAGTAGTAATCAAAGACAGTCATTACTAGGAGGTTAGTTCATTAGGTTCGTTATTACTTTATCAGTAAATCTCCATTATCTAAGTTGCGAGTTCCATAACCATACGATAGACTAGACATGGCAATAAGAAGTCCATCATCATTTTATGACTTTTGTCACCCATGGACCTGACGATCCAACTGTAGCTAGCAGTAGGGTGCGGGGTAGTCAGCCCCGTATAGATCTATACACTCAAGTCATGCTCTCCCTCCAAGAGATTCTGGTTACGGGAGTAGTCCTCCACTCTCGTATCCATGTGGAGTGTTACCGAGGACGTGTCTCCAATCATAAGAATAATGAACTTTACAAGTAATAGTATAGAAAATCCCGGTTTATGAAATGACATGAAATCCTTGTGAAATGTAAAAATATAACATTTTATAATGAGTTTCACAATTGGTTTTGAAAAACTAACTCCACGAGTTAGACGGTTGGTTAATACGGATTTCAATGTTTAAAACATATTGAACATGTAGTTATGTTATACGAAATAATAGATTTGAGTACAAGTTTCCTTGTACATTTGCTTGTATCCCCCCCTGAAAACATGAAAAACACAGAAAATGGTGTAGGGGTATGAACTCACCTGACAAGAATGTGCCGATTTAGATGCTAAGTATCAGTTTAGGGCTTGAACACGCGTGAGGTTCCTATGTAACATGAAGAGATACATAATTGTATCTAATTAGACTTTGATTTACTAAGATAGCAGGATAATACACTCCGAGGCACGAAAACACTTCAATTCAAGTGTTAGGGATGGTACGGGTTGTATCTAAGGAGTGTAGGGCCTAGATAAGGTGTTTACTCTTCAAGTGTAAACCCTTAGGGGAGTTTACGGTCCAAAGACCACATCCCCCATGAGTTTACAGCCGTAAACTCATGGGGTGTGGTGGTTTGAGTGATCCAAGGTCTCATCTTGCATATAGGAAGGATCTAGGGTTGATTCGAGGGCTTAGGAAGTGATCGGGACATGAAATGACCTAGGAATTAGGGTTTACGGTTCTGGGGACCACCTTTGGGGAGTTTACGGTCGTAAACACATGGGTTTACGGCCGTAAACCCTTCCTTGTCCATGTTTGTCCATTTTCCAAGTGTTTTGGTGGTTTGTAGGCCATTCATGCAAGTTCTAGAATCATATACAAGCCATGCAAGGTGTTTAGAGCATTGAAACACCTTTGGAAGGTGTTTACGGTTTTGGGAGATGTTCCCAAACCGTAAACTCAAGTTTATGCTCATTTGGACATGTTTTAGGGTTCTAAGATCATCCAAGCAAGTTTTAAGGCCATTAGACATGCATTGGAAGGGTTAAGGAGCATCAAAGCCCCATGAAAGGGTGTTTACGGTTCTTGAACATTCAAGAACCGTAAACTCATGTTCATGGCCAAAAATTCATGATCTTGTGGTTCTAACTCCATGCATGTAAGGATCTAAGCATTAGAAGAGGTTTGGAAGGGTTTTGGGGCTTCAAAACCCCCATTGAAGGAGTTTACGGTTTTGGGAGGCTCCCCCAAACCGTAAACACATACTTTTGGTGATTTTTGGGAAGTTCAAACATAGATTTGCATGCATGATAGGATAAACAACTAGTTAGGAAGGATCACTTACCAAATTGGAGCTTGAAAGTGAAGATTTCTTGAGAGAGTTCGATTTCTAGTGAGAGAGTAGAGAGAGAAAGTTCAAGTGTGGGAAAAGCTCAAATGGTGGTCACTCCACCCTTTTATATGCCTAGAGTTAGTGACCCGGTGGGAATACACCCAATACGGACATTAAACGGAGCTTAATATTTTACCCGGGTAAATAACCATTACCCGCACTAGTCATAGTCTAGAAATTTTCAAAAGATTATTTAGAGTGTTTTCACTCAAATAAATATTTCGTTTTCAACACATAGGAAATTATAATAATAATTCTAAATGAATTATTTAATTTGAAAGTGAACGGAAAAACCCCAAATAAAATAAATTTTATTAACGGCATGGGTTATGTTAACGGAATATCTTTCGGGTTGTCACACAAGATCTCATCATTCCATCTCCAAACAACCCTAAGACTTCCATGAAAGATGGATCTAGAAAGGAGAAAGCCAAGGATAACGATTCATTACCTCCAAAACGACCTCCTTCTGAAGAGTAATTCGAATCTCCACAAATCTCCTTGATCCAAGCTTCTTGATCTTCAAGATCTCTTCACAAAACACTTAACAATGCTCCAATTTGCTTCCAATGGCTCTCACTCACGATTCTAGGGTTTCTGGATCTCAAAGGGGGCTAAGGGGGCTGAGGGGAGGACATTAAGTCCTTTAAATAGGGTGCAACCCCGAAGAAAAGGGTTTTCTCTCTTCAGCGCCAACTCGTCGAGTCCAAGCCGCCGACTCTGCTAGTTGGTCACTTAACCCGCGACAGATTCTCGCTCCGACTCGGCGAGTAAACGTGCCTACTCGTCGAGTCCCTTTCTTAGTTTACACCTTAAGTCCTTCAATAGCACCTCTGGAATTTGGGGTGTTACAGAATTAGTCGGAACCTGCACAGAACCAATTTTGTAATCGGAATGTTCATTTCAGAAGCTGATGATGAAATTGATTGATCGGAATCGCAAGACAAGTATTAATTTGAAGTGAACGATGAAACGGAAACGAATAGGCTCATAATTTCGAAGGAGTGAAGAGTGTTTTGTGACATTGGGTTTGTATCTTGGAAGCGATCTCGCAGACGTACATGGTTGAAATTGTTTCTCAAATATATGACTTCGGAATTATGATGTTGGATGGCATCAATCGGATCGATTTTGCAGGCCAAACCTCAAGGTTAAAATTGGTATTACGAACTCCTTGGTGCGAGCGGACTCACTGCAACGTATGAAATCGGAGAACATACTGTTAACGAAAATACTCACAGGTAAAACGAATCTAGAATTGCAGGAAGAAAACTTTGATCAATTGAATTGACAAAAAAATAAAATTCAAAAACGCAGATTTAGATTGAGGGATCGAACAACATACCGATTTTGTGGAATCGAGAACTTACCTGGGAAAAATCGATGACGGGGCCGACTGAATTGATGAAGCACACAGTTAAATCGAGTCCCATTCTTAACGGCTGAATTGTGGGTGTCGATGGAAGAGGCGATAGGTTTTTAAATAAAGGGATTTGTCTAAATTAAAGGGTAGATGATTTAATAAATTATTTATTAAAATTAAATAATACTTGGCCCATATTAATCCCTATATCCACACAATATTTGTACATCCATATTTGAACCTACCTCTCTCTTTCTCTCTCTCTCTCTCTCTATATATATATATATATATATATATATATATATATATATATATATATATATATATATATATATATATATGAATTAGGTTCAAATGTTTTCTATAAGTATTGTGTGCCTCTAACAACCAATTAAAATTAATCAAAATAAAATTCAATAATAAATCATAAAAGGGTGTAATAGTAATTTTGTCACACTTAATTATGGTAAATATTTAAAACATTTAATATCCTTTAAATTAGGGTAATTTGTTTGTTAACCCTACAAAAACGACGGCCATTCATCACCATCAACATTGTTGTATTCCTTGTATCCCCTAACCAAGTCTGACAACCATTGCCGCCCATTTACCATCGTCGATCACCAACGTCATCATCTTCATATGTTGTCGAGGAGAGGTAAACTAATCTAACTTGCGATTCTGGAAGAGATGAGGGGCAGAGATGCAATCTGCACCAACGATGATGCGATTCTTGTGTGTGTAATCGAACCAACGATGATGCGATTCTGCGAGTCTCGATCTTTCCCGTTCCCATGAAAGGTTTTACGATTTTTTCCCTGCAGTATTTGATTTCCTATTCTTCTACATCTTGATTGCTTTCAATTCTTCCTCTGAATGTTACTGATTTACGTTTCTTCACATGGATCTTCCATTTGATTTATTCACTGATTTTCGATTCTAACAGAATACATTTATACATGTTTTATAATGTTTATGCATATAGAAGAAAAGACTATGTTAGAATTTATTTATATAAATGCATTCTATTAGAATTTATCGGAATTTATTGTTTTATTCTATTTAATGCACTAAAAATTTTAATATCTGAAAGTTGATTATGTTTTCTTTGTGGATTTAGGTTTTGAAGAGGTTGCCATTAATGTGGAAAATAAAGGAAACATGGAGAACAATAGTGCATTCTAACAGAATGTTTTCTGTCAGAATTTATAAATTGTTTCTTAACAATAATATTCTTTCGGAATGGATTAGTGTTTTTGTTAGATTTTGATGTTTTTTTTTATTTTTTAACCATTTTTAGTTTTAATCTTTAAGAGTAAATGTAATCCTTAAACCATTGTTTGTCATAATTTTTTAAACAATTGTAAAATTAATGCTCTTAGTTATCAGGAAATTGTAATTTGACAAATCCATTCAGTGAAAACAATATATTCTCAAGCCCATTTGGCTAGGAGAGACATCAAGCCGGCACCAAGAAGAAGAAAAACATTTGAACCAAGTAGAAGCATCTTCTTGTTTTGCATCCTGGGATTATTGAAATCCGGAGAAAGTAGGTTAACAAGTGCCATATATATCAACATTCCAGCCGATGCAGCATTTAACACGCCTTCGACAATAAGAGAATTTGTACTGTTTTCTTTATAACTGTTGCTCAGCAATATTCCAATTACAATTCCACCTGGAGTCGTAAGGGTGAAAAACGCTCCCATTGATATAGTCGCCAGTGATTTGATTTTTGCCTGAAGTAAGTGAACCATGTTATTTAGGATTTATTCGTAGCCATAGTTGATATTCAACCCAATGATGTATACTAAAATAAATCTAATTTGTTGATAAAATCCGTACCTGAAAGATGCATCCACCGAGGCCTAATCCTTCGAAAAATTGGTGGAAGGATAAGGCAACAATAAGTGGTTTTATGGTTTCCGGACTTTTGGAAGCACCTAACGATAATCCTATAATTATTGAATGAGCGACAATTCCTAATTCCAGCACCTGCGATCCAAAAGATAAATAATATTTTCACCAATATATTACTTCTTGTAACCCACCTTAAAATTTAATTATAGACATAATTAAAGGATATCGTCTATATAACAGATTAATATAATCGGATCAACTTATTTATTTAATGAATCTTACCATCTATGCTTAAATGATATGTGTGCTTGTCTTCCTACAAGATTCTAATTCAAATATTAAAAACTGAAATAATTGCAGCATTTACTTTCTAATAAGTTTCTAATTCAAGTATAACATTTAAGACCTTAATCTTGCACTCAAATACAGTTTTTAGATCATGTCTTCTTACCAAGTATTTCGGTATTAATAAGTTAAAACTGTCATTACTCCATCCATAAGTTAGCATTGCACTCAAATACAGTTTTCTCTGCTATTGTCGATTGGTTCATCTTAGTTTAGTTAGTGTCTATAATAACCTAGCTGTTTTTATTTCAATCAACTTTGTCGTTCAAAAGAAAGAAAAAGATTTGAAAGATCTAGTAATTTACCTGGGAAATAATCCGATATCGATAAACTTGAGAATTATCATTGGCGTGAGAATGGTGATGGGTTGCATGCATGTGAACAGTCACAACCCCAACGTTCTTTTCTTCATCGTCAACCCCTTCAACTGCTACCGTCTGATTCTTAGGCTGGCATGCCGCTGACCAGCTCTCAAACATCAACGTCACAATGGTTGCAATCATAGCCACAAACCCAGATAATGGAAAATCCCCCCACACCTGTTCTTTCAAACACGGAGACGTCAGGCTCTCGAACGCGTCTGGAAGTATATGGATAAACCCTGTAGCCAGCATCACGCCGGCAGCGAATGATTTTACAAGGAAGAAACCATCCTTCTCTTGGCCTAAGGCCGGGAAGATTTTGCCAGCGAAGGGTAGAGATACGCCGATGCCCCCGGCAATCAATATGGAAGCAAGTGCGATTAATTTGTACTTAAGGGTTTCGCTTTTGTTGCCGTGGATTTCTTCGTCTTCACAACTGCAATCAGCAAAGGCTCTAATGACTAGGGTTAATAACAAAAATGCCGTAACTATTGGTTTCTGAAATTCCATTTGATTTTCGAATTAATTGTCAATGTATTTTCTGAGTGCGTGCGCTTTTTATTATATATAGGGTAAAAAACAAATCTTAAAACATATCACTTTTAAAAGATATCACGCATTTACTATGATGTACAGATTGTATGACATACAAACTCAGTCTCCTTAAACAAACTTGTCGTTATCACAAACTAATCCATATCTGCAAAACCCATTTAATTTTGGAATTAACTTTCATCCACTTTTTTTTATAACGTAAAAAATATATCATATTTTAAGATGTACAATGCCGTTGTTTTGAAGGTTCTCACGATAACATGGTAACACCCTTAAAAGGATGCTCTGTAGACACCATAATAAAAAACAAATAAAACCCATTTTTTTTTCTCACCTTGACGCATGTGACCGTATCAACCCGTCTATTCATCAGAAAATATATGTTCTGATTGCGCCGGTAGCCATATTTTTTGCTCGATGAGATCCATGATTAATTTGTTATCAAAAACAAAAGTTCTACCGATATCGCACGAAGGCGAAGGCTCGGTGATGGTACTTGTAGGGTATGGGGTTTGTCGGAAGTGTACAGACGGTCCAAGTCAATTTGAGGCTAGGGACAAATACAAAAAATGAGGCCCTTTAAATTTCAAAATTTTGTTATCGCATTCGATAATACGATGATTTATGTGCAACTAGGACATGGGTACTTATTATTAAATTGGAGTTATATGTATTACAAAAAAAATTTGAACGTGTTTAAGGGGTGTGAGTTTGTAATGTCCAAAAATTTACCATGAATTTTTAAAATTTTAAAATAATATTTATTAAAGAATAACCATTAATTTTATGGGAAAATATCATTGTAGCACATTAACGTTTCGTCAATTGTTCGATTTAGTCACTAAAGTAATTTTCTTGCACAATGGGCCCTAAAAATATCATTTTACCTATTAAATAGAGGAATTATGCAATTTGATTCCGGTTTCACCGGTTATATTTAGTCTACGTGGTTTAGAAATAGAGTAATTTTCATTCAACCACCAGGTTGCTCAACCCACACATCGATGGCGACTTTCATCTTCTTCCCCTTTTCTCGTCTAACACCTAACTGATGTCATAGTCATCGGTAAGTCCTTCGATTTTTCTTTGTCGTATAGGGTTTTTGAGGGAATCGTAGGGCGTACCTTAAACGCAGACAATTTTTATGGTGGGGATTAGTATGTCGCTGGTGCGAAATTTGATCCCAAAATATATATCATCAAAGCAGTTCCGAAGAAATATATTTTTGTTTATATTAAAACTTTGGGATGTCATCGTCAATACAGAAACATAAGCATAAACAGACATTACATTTATTTACACTAGTGATTTACATCTCCTTTAATCTCTTAGTGTAATGCAGTTTCATATCGACACATGTGATACAATTAAAATGAGTGGGTCAGGTGGGAAACCTGGTGAGTACATAGGATTTTCAACCCACAATAATATAATTATTATGTTTAATTATCAAAAAATTAAACCCAACTTCCCGTCCCTATTATCTTCTTTATTCTTAAGGATTTACATTATTCATAATTTATTTATTCCTAAGGACTGCCCTAAGGAATAGTCACGAAGTCCATTGATGTCAGGGTTTATCCAACAGGCACTAAGTCTATAGCTACCAATGATATCTGTTAGGCACAGCTGCCTATACTATCCATTAGGTACTAAGTCCATAGCTACCAATGTTCTCTCATAAGGCGCTAATTCCATAGCTACCAGGGTTTTTGGAATACATCCGGTGAACACGTAGTTCAAAAATTAGGCACATATGCCAATATTATCCTTTAGGCACAACTGCCATGATATTTAGAGTACTTCTGGTGAACACGTAGTTCAAAAATACCTACAGGTTGCGAGCCTGCTAGCGTTCCACTGGATTGTCTAGAACAGTCTGTGGTTGTCATCTATACTTTTCTAGATGACATCATTGTTAGGGTCAAGGCTTCTCATTATCTTTCGCCTCTCATCATATATATCATCTCTCATCTGTAACATCCCAATATTGTCATTTATGGTCCCTGGGGATAGAAGGATGAAGCCATGAGAGCCTAAGGGCTAAATTGTAATTTTGGGACCAGGAGGAGTACGCTGCGCGAACATAAAGGTACGCTGGGCTGGGGGCTATATAAACATCCTTATGGCTCATTTTCTCTCCTCCTTCTCAGCCTCCTGTTGGATAAGGTGTCTAAGTCCATAACTATTTCTGGTATGTACTTGACCCGATTGGCATGGTCCATTTGGGTTGCATGGCATTACAACAATTGGATAGACAAAATGAGAAAAGGACACTTATGGTTTGTTAATATATTATAAGTTATAATATAGTAATAATATTATTTAATTAGTATTGATCAAGAATTAATTTGGAATTAAATTTGTGATCAAAAGGAGACTAATTAAATATATGGGAATTGATTTGTAAATCATTCATTCTTGTATAGTGGGCTTATGGTTCATGATTCACTAGATTGGGCTAGGACCTATTGGGTGCTCTATGGATGCTCCATGGAGGTTATAACCCATGGATCATGGGGAAATGAAAAGCCATGCACATTAGGGTTTACATGGTGTAACCCTACATGTGGCACACTATATAAAGAGCTCCATAGCTAGCAAAATCGGCCATTATTGCAAGACAAAAGAGGGCTAGCCGATTTTTTAGTGAAAGTGTTCTCTTCTCAAGTTATTCCAAGAGTTGTGGTGTTGTGTGAGACATTTGAGGCATCACATTTGGGGTGCTAGGCCGACAAGGTCTTAAGGAATTCAAGCTACAAGAAAGGTATGTCATTCTACTAGTTTTATGTATTACAAGTTCCTCATGCCATGCTAGTTAGGATGAAAACCTTGGAAAATCAAATCTGCATGTATCTTAGTAAAACATAGATCCAAGGTTTCTAGGGTTGCATTTACACCATAGGAGTGTTAGAATGCTCAAAATCCTTCACCTCCATCTTCCAGAAACGTCCCCAAACCCTAGTTCTTGTGTGTGAGAGTGAGTTGGTGGGTATTTTGAGCTCTTGAAGGTGAAGCCATTGCAACAAATAGTTGAAGAATGAGATTGGCTTGTAGATCTGAAGTTGTGTTGTGCCCTAGAAGCTTCAAACTTTATGCTTGTAGGTCATAGATCTAGCCTTTCTCGCATTATGGAACCATTTCTTGTCCCAAAAACCCCAATATCATGCATGATGCATTTTGGACGAGATAAGCTGTCCTTTTTGGACCTTGAAGAGGTCTTAAGTGATAAAAATGAGGTCCCAATGGTTTAAGATGTCCCATGCATGTAGTAGAAGGTTCTTAATGGATTAAGACCTTGGATTAAGAGCTTTCTGGACGTCCAAAGTGATAAAGTTCGAGACTTTATGAGTCCTAGGCACATTTGGTCACTGGATCTGGAATTTGGGCTTAAGTGCTTAAGCCATTAAGCACTTATCAGGGTTTTGGTGAAACCCTGCGTACGCCCAGCGTACTGGTTCAATGACCCCATTTTCCAATCAATGCGAGACTCGTGTACGCCCCGCGTAGCCGTGGGGTACGCCCAGCGTACGCCTTCTGTGGACTTTTGGTGAGTTGGGCTTTGGGTTTGGGCTACTTTTGGGCTAGTAGGGTTTGGGCCTTGCTGGAATTTCTGAGTAGATATGTTTTGGACCATTTTTGGTGATAGTGGATCATGGGGTTAAGGCCAATAAGGAAGTTGGGCCCAATTTAGTAAATTGGGCCAATAATGGGCCTTGCATAAAGACTTTCAAGGTTATGGACTTGGCATTGGACCTTGGCCCAATAAAGAGAGTGGACATGATGGATTGTGTGGAGCCTTAGTTTAGATTGTTATGTTGTGTAATGACTTGGTATTTATTATTTGGATAGTTCGGGATTTTGGTGAGGCAACGATTCGGGAGTTCGATTCTTCACTTTAGATCGGCATTGCGAGGTGAGTTATCCTCACGGTAATCAAGGGTCTAAGGCACCAAGATCGGCCCTTTGATTTGTTATTTGGAATTGATACTATTATGATATGATTAGATCGGTATCCTGGTAGATAGGATGGTTATATGTTGGTATGCTATGATTAGATCAGTATCCTGGTAGATAGGATGGTTATATGTTGGTATGCTATGATTAGATCGGTATCCTGGTAGATAGGATGGGTATATGTTGGTATGCTCTGTTAGATCGATATCCTGGTAGATAGTATGTGGTTATGCTTAGAGGTATGTAGTTGGTCTGACTGTCTGTATGCTGGTAGGAGATTACCTGTTATATGTGCACATGATTGATTGGTAGTTGAGGGTATTCCATCCCGAGGATGATAGGACCCTAGTATGTTGTCTCTATAGTCTGTTATATGATTATCTGATATAGGTGCACATGTTTGAGTGGTTATGGGCATTCCAACTCGATGGTTGTGGGCCGTGAGTATTCCATCCCGAGGATGATTGGACTCATAGTATGTGGACATTCCAACCCGATGGTTGTGGGTCTGGGGTATTCCATCTCGATGGATGATTGGACCCATAGTATCTGTTATATATGTATTGTGTGTGGGCATTCCAAATCGATGGTTGTTTGCCGAGAGTATTCCATCCCGAGGATGATTGGACTCGTAGCAGGTGGGTATTCCAACCCGATGGTTGATTGGACCCATAGTATGTTGGCATTCCAACCCGATGGTTGAGGGGCCTGGGGTATTCCATCCCGATGGATGATTGGACCCATAGTATGTTGTTTGTTATTGTATGTGTATTGTTGTGTGTATGGGTATTTTGGGGGTAACTCACTAAGCTTTCGGGCTTACAGTTTCAGTTTATTGTTTCAGGTTCAGCGGATGACCGTGGGAAGGCGAAGGCGTGACCGTACACTTCCTCGATTTATGATTATGATTTCTGGGAACTCTGATGTTAAAACTATTTTGAAAACAAATTTTAATAACTGAATGGTTTTATATGATTTAAAAAGTTTTAAATTGGCTT